AGTCTGGTGTGGATGAACTTGACTGGCCTGCACAGAGTCCTGACCTCAACCCGATAGAACACCTTTGGGATGAATTAGAGCGGAGACTGAGAGCCAGGCCTTCTCGTCCAACATCAGTGTGCGACCTCACAAATGCGCTTCTGGAAGAATGGTCAAAAATTCCCATAAACACACTCCTAAACCTTGTGGACAGCCTTCCCAGAAGAGTTGAAGCTGTTCTAGCTGCAAAGGGTGGACCGACGTCATATTGAACCCTATGGATTAGGAACGGGATGTCACTTAAGCTCATATGTGAGTCAAGGCAGGTGAGCAAATACTTTTGGCAATATAGTGTATATCATATTTATTTTTTTACAAATGGCCCTTTTAAAGGCACAAAACTGCAGTAAAGAAGCTATAACCATTCAGTTTGTTTCCTGAGATTTTTTCACGTCGGTGGGATTCAGGCTCGGACTGGTAATCTGTGACTCCAGGCATTTGCCAGGTGGGCTGGTCCTAATTTCAGATTAAGCTCCTCCTATTTGATGATGCTGTGGGGTAAATAAAACACTGTGCATCTGAAATGCAGAGAGGGGAACTACCTGCGGGACTCACGGAAATCACTGCCTTCACCACATGCTGTGGGAAAGCACTATGAACAATCATGACAGTATGTACAGTATATATGCATACATATATATCATGAGTAGATACAATCAGCTGGTTTTCCTTAGATGGAAAACTTTGAACCAATCTGACTGTATCTATCTGGTTGAATTGTCTCTATAAAGTGCTTTGAGATGACATGTGTTGGTGCTATATAAAAAAAAGTTCATTTAATTGCATATATGTATGTTTACAAACATATGAGAGGAAGTTATTTTTTTTTTTTTGTCTTCCAGTCCACTTGGCTGGTGCATCAAAAAGTCTACTCACTTTTTTAATCTCAACTTCATAGCATCAGAATTGACATTTACATTAAATGTAATTAACTCAATTGTATATTACATTTATTGTTAGGGTAGTATAGCATTTAAAGAGGACACAACAAGTGTTTTTCAAACTATTATTCATACTTTTTAATGTAAAAACATATTGTAACATCAAACTACATTACTCAAAAAAATGAAAGGAACACTTTGTAATCAGAGTACAGCATCATGTTAATTAAACTTCTGGGATATTGATTTGGTCAGGTAAGTAGCAGAGGGGGTTATTAATCAGTTTAAGCTGCTTTGGTGTTAATAAAATGAACAACAGGTGAACTAGAGGGGCAACAACGAGACGACCATCAAAACAGGAATGGTTTTACCGGTGGAGACATTTTTCCCCTCCTCATCTTTTTTGACTCCTTTTCACCAGTTTTGCATTTGGCTAGGTCACTGTCACTACTGTTAGCATGAGGCGCTACCTGGACCCTGCAGAAGTTGCACAGGCAGTCCAACTCCTCCCGGATTGCACATCAATATGTGCCATTGCCAGAAGGTTTGCTGTGTCTCCCAGCACAATCTCAAGAGCATTCCAGGAGAAAGGAAGTTACTCCAGGAGAGCTGGACAGGGCCGTAGAAGGTCTACAACCCATCAGCAGGACCGCTATCTGCTCCTTTGTGCCAGGAGGAGCAGGAGGAGCACCGCCAGAGCCCTACAAAATGACCTCCAGCAGGCCACTGGTGTGAATGTCTCCGATCAAACAATCAGAAACAGACTTCAGGAGGGTGGCCTGAGGGCCCGACCCCCTCTATTGGGTCCTGTGCTCACTGCCCGGCACCGTGGAGCTCGATTGGCATTTGCGACAGAACACCGGAATTGGGGCTGGACGATATAGAAAAAAAGCTTATTGATAAAAAAAAATGCATATTGATCGATATCGATAATTATTGAAAAGATTTGAAACCATAGTTTATGTGCAGCTTTATAATATTGCTAAATGATTTAATTTTAATAAAGAACACAAACACAGACTTCCAATTAAATATTTATTTAACCAACTTTTTTAACCATAACAGAATTGTTTTAAAGAAAAATAACTTAAGAGACCTGAGTTATGTTATTAAATACTGACAAAGAATAAACTAAAATGACCAGAAAAGTGATCAAAATAAATATAACAAATAAATAAATAGAATACCCTATTTGGGTGGGAATAGTACACCATCAGCTTGTGGTAATTAAAAGATTGTAGGACTAGGCTACCATGGAAACTCCACTCAACAAGAACAAAAACCCAAATCAACTCACCCTTTAGCCTAGCATTTCTATGGGGTATTTTTTCTCACCCTTATTCTTCTAGAGGTGCTGCTGGTTATGGTTCAGCTTAGCTTCCTGCTTTAACCTGAGTTATTACTTTGAAGTTTCTGGCCCCTCAGCATTTTTCTCTCAATTGTTAGAACTACGAGGGAAACTGCTCAGAACTGAATATATATATATATATATATATATATATATATATATATATATATATATATATATATATATATATTAGGGGTGGAACGGTTCACAAAATCCACGATTCGGTTCGATTCACGGTTTCTGGTCACGGTTTTCGGTTCGATTCGATACATCCTGATTGTTACACCGAAATCCCATAAAAATGTATGGGATTAATGAAAAAATCCCCCAAAAAATAATGGATTGTAATTATTTTAAATGATCCGCAGAAACCCTGGATCATTTCCGTATGTTTTGCTGCTTTGAATTTAATCATCTGGCGCATGCTCTCTACCATTTCCAAGGGACTCAGAGGGGAGCGGACGGAGGGAGCCACAGTGGAGGCTGTAGGCTTTGCTCTGAGCAGCCGGTCTGGAGCGCAGCGGGGCGGAGCGCTGACGGAGTATGAGGGATTTCGGGGTTAGCATGATATGTTGCTGTTAGCATAAACAAAACGTGTTGCACAATTCTCGCACACTGTTTCACTTTTATCCACAACTTTCTTTCCGCTGTCATCGTAGGTCACTCTAAATGCAAAGTGCTCCCATACAGCAGACCTATAAAGTGCTGATTTTTTTCCCCTGCTACACCTAAGCTGCTTCGCTTCTTCTTCTTCTTGTTTACTACTGGCGGTTGGCTTTGGTCACAGCACTGCCACCTTCTGCTCTGGAGTGTAATCGCTTCCTCTATGAGAAAAAGGAGCAGCGCATGAACCGTACGAAACACACGCGAACCGAACCGAGACAGTCGAACCGAACGATTCTGACGGTCTTCATAAATCGTCTCATCCCTAATATATATATATATATATATATATATATATATATATATATATATATATATATATATATATATATATATATATATATATATATTTATTTATTTATTTTTTTTTTTTTTTTTTTTCCCGAAATTCCCGAAGATTCCTCGGAGGAATCGTACTCCTGTGAGCGGTTGAGATGATAAAAAAAAAAGTTGCTTGTGTTATCAGACTTCGTTTTCACTGGTTCTCTACACATTTTACAGATGACTTTGGTTTGTTTTTTGTCCGACTTGCCATGACCAAAATACTGCCAAACTGGCGAACTACAAAAACCCTTCTTTGGAACAATTTCCTCCGCCTCTCCTTGCTGCGACATCTTCATGTGCTCTGTGTTGTGGTTTGACAGGGCAGCGCTTTGTGACGGCGTGCCAATTGCGATCGGTTAGGAGGAAGTAGTGACTAGCATAAACCTACGTGATAGGCTACAACGAGAAGGAAGGAAAACTGCGTTTCTTTATCGAACTTTTATCGACACTCTTTTTTTCTATTGCGCCACACGTCTATCGTATATCGTTATTGAATTATCGCCCAGCCCTACAACCCATCAGCAGGACCGGTATCTGCTCCTTTGTGCAAGGAGGAGCAGGAGGAGCACTGCCAGAGCCCTACAAAATGACCTCCAGCAGGCCACTGATGTGAATGTCTCTGACCAAACAATCAGAAACAGACTTCACGAGGATGGCCTGAGAACCAGACATCCTCTATTGGGCCCTGTGCGCACCATGGAGCTCGATTGGCACTTGCCACAGAACACCGGAATTGGCAAGTCCGCCACTGGCGCCCTGTGCTTTTCACAGATGAGAGCAGGTTCAACCTGAGCACATGTGACAGACGTGAAAGGGTCTGGAGAAGCCATGGAGAACATTATGCTGCCTGTGACATTAGGTATCGGGATGAAATCCTTGCACCCATGGTCAGACCCTATGCTGGTGCAGTGGGTCCTGAGTTCCTCCTGGTGCACGACAATGCCTCATGTGGTGAGAGTAGGCGGACAGTTCCTGGAGAATGAAGGAATTGATACCATCGATTGGCCCCCATGCTAGCTTTACCTAAATCAGATAGAACACCTCTGGGACATTATGTTTCCATCCATCCGATGCCGCCAGGTTGCACCTCAGACTGCCCAGGAGCTCAGTGATGCCCTGGTCTAGATCTGGGAGGAGATACCCCAGGACGCCATCCGTCGTCTCATTAGAAGCATGCCCCCATGTTGTCAGGCATGCATACACGCACGTGGGGGGCCATACAAATTATTGAATACCATTTTGAGTTGCTGCAATGAAATTTCAGCAAAATGGACTAGCCTGCCGCATCATTTTTTCACTGTAATTTTTGGGGTGTCTTTGAAATCAGCCCTCAGGTTGATAATTTTCATTTCCATCAAATAATGTGGCATCCATTTGTTCCTAACACATCACCCAGTCCATATCAGTAGAAATAAACAGCATGATTTTTTGACCCATTGCGATCTGATGTCTTTTCAAAGTGTTCCTTTATTTTTTTGTGAGCAGTGTAGTAATGTGTCAAATTAATTATTCTTTGAAAACAAAAGGAGCCTTGTAAAATTGTTAATATTCTTTGAATATTTTTCAAAACCAAAAACTTTAAACATACTGTGTTGGGACTTTATACATAAAGCAAGTAACATAAGGATAAGACTACAAAGAAGTTTAATGTAAAGAGGTGATAATTAGCCTTAATTTTTGTATTAAGCATCAAATGTATTATGTTACGAGGTAACCCATGACCTGTGAGCCATGTCAGAGCATACCAGACAGAAGGTCATCTGTTGGGTGTGGCCAGTTGAAGGTCTTGAAGTTTTCCCAGTCAAAGTCATCATCTTGACCCTGATAGTATTGACATAAGCCGGAATCTGAGTCTTCATTAAAGGTGCAGCCAGCTGTAATACATAAACAAAAGTGATTTATTTGAGCTGAAGCTAAAAAACAAAAAGTTCAACATTTTTAAGAGGATTGGTTCTTTGCCAAATCCTACCTAGAGAAAACTAAAAAAGAAACAGATCATTAATATTCATTATTGTCCATTTACACCAGGTGAACAATAGTAGTTTTATTAAATCATTTTATAGAGAGTCTTCTCTATGTCATCAGATAGTCATAACACAGTATCTCATCTCTTTAAAATGTACAATCATCTGATATAACATATTCTGCTTTGGGAAGGAGCCAGCAAACAATCTGAGAAGCATAAAAAATGGCCTGCAATGCTGCATATTATTCATTTAACTTTGTACAGATTTTTTTTTAAATCAATATCAACATTCAGTTGGCAGACAATTATAGCAAGTTTACACTGATGAAAACCACAGTATAAGTCTGTCTGACACTAGATGGACAGCACACTCACTGGCAACAAAAGCACTAAGTAGTAATCAGAGATGGGAAGTAACGAAGTACAAATACTTGGTTACTGTACTCAAGTAGATTTTTCTGATATTTTTACTTTACTACTTATTTTTATGGCGACTTTTTACTTCTACTCCTTACATTTTTACACAAATATCTGTACTTTCTACTCCTTACATTCTAAAAAATTGGCTCGTTACTTTAGTTTGGAATCATTTCAATGGAGTTACCGTTATTATTTTTCACGTCATCAATACCAAATTCAATCTAATTGGATGGGAATCTACGTTGCATTTGACGCACCACTACAAGATGAATCGACAGATTCGGCGGTATTCATTGGCGGCAAATCATTGCAGCTTGGTGGCGGTGGCGTTAGCATAGTAGCATGGACGACGAGATGATTGAAAATGAACACAACGGAGATCTAGTCCTATTGGCAGACATCCATTTAAAATGTAGGCAACGGCATGAAAAAAGTGGTTTCTACTTTTACTTTTATACTTTAAGTAAATTTACAAGCCTGCACTTTGTTACTTTTACTTGAGTAACAAAGTTGAATCAGTACTTCCACTTTTACCAGAGTATTTTTTAACACAAGTATGTGTACTTTTACTCAAGTACGGAAAGTGAGTACTTTTGCCATCTCTGGTAGTAATTCAACTGCCTATAGAGTGCAGCTAGAAAGGCAGTGGAACTGGACTCATGTAATGTCGTTAATTTCATTAGTTCATTGAGGGATTAAGTTGTCTCAAAGTTATCACAACAAAAATGTGATAGCCTTGAGCTAACTTATGGCTCTCAAACTGTCAACATTTATATTAAAATTAATTTGCAAATACATTTTTTTGGAGGCACCATAAAAAGATTTTGCTAAACCTCAATTTAAAGAAGATAAAATACAACTTTACTTAGTTTTACAAAAATGTTATGTAAATTAGCTCAACTGACTTTAGAATTTGTATCTGGTTTTGATTGTCTGCTCAGATTCTGTCTAGGCCAGATTCATCATCGTCTCCTGCCCTACTAATATTGTGTTTGTGTCTGCTGACCTGGACCATCACGCCATCTGCTCAGACTATTGAGATTAGAATAGCACATGTTCTTAGCAGCAAACAGCAATTACCTAAATATTTCCTTTTAGATTAGACCACAAACAAAAGATTAACTGAACCCTGAAAAATTGAGGCTCAGGCAGGAATCTGTCTGTAACCTAATTTTCATGCTGTACCCACCAGATCAATACCAGTCCTGTCAATAATCCCCCTATCACTTATCCTGTACTTACAATACCTTGTTCTCTCCCTGCCTCTCTTCCACCTCCAAATGACATGAAAAACTGTGAGATAAGGCTTTTTCTTAGTCAATACATTAAAGTTGTATTTCCCAAAGTCTGTATGTAATAAATTCTGAAAAATGTCGCTGGAACGGTCCATAATCTTTTAATAATTGGCACCAAAAACATTAGAGGTCAAATCAAAGATTAAGAAATTGTACTCAACCGGTGTGACCTGTACTTAAACCGTAGATTGTTGCTGTTCCAGATGATGATCAAAACAGGCAGATATGAATACCCTCATGGGCGGTTCTAGACAGGGGCCAACGGGGGTCAGGGCCCTGTAGATCAAGTCCTGGCCCCTGTTATGGCCCCTGTACTGAAGACGTAATACTCAAAGAAATTCTAATTATATGCGCAGGAACAGAAATGATTACCGATAGATCCTTTGGATCTTTTTCATTTTTTTCTTTACAAATTCTGTTTTATTAACTGTTTAAAAACATAGCATCAGTGATATTGAGATAGGATCCCAGTTTTTAATCTGCTAAATGTTTTTTTTTTAAACAAATGTAAAAAAAAAAGAAAATACTCAACTTAAACTCTAATTAAATTCTAATTCTAATAAAAAACTGTAATTTCAACTTAAATAAAGTTAAAAAAAAATGTAAAATTCTTAAATTCTGAATGTATTTTGACCTAATTTTTAGTTTATTTTATTTTTATTTTTTTATTTTATATACTCTAATAATCTCAGAGGGAAATTACTTCTCTGCATTTAACCCATCTCCTTGGGGAGCAGTGGGTTGCCATTGTGAGGTGCTCGGGGAGCAGTGTGAGGTTAAGGGTCTTGCTCAGGGACCCAGAGTGGCAGTCTGTGGGAGTGGGGGATCGAACTCACAATCTCAGGATTCAAAGACTGATGCTTTGATATTTGAATCCCTGTTTTTTATTTCATGCTTTTCTCTGCCCCATGAAAACACGCTGGCCCCCTCCTGGCCCCCCTGGTACATTTGGTCTAGAACCGCCACTGGATACCCTGGCTGGGAAGTGCAGGTGCTGTGAGTAGCTATAATTTAAATATAGTAGATCTAGATCATTTCTTGTAACAGCGGTGAAGGATTTATTTCAAAATCATGTTCATTTAAAGTACTAGTTAATATTTATAAACTACTAACTGGTTCTACTATCTGAACACCGTTTCCCCTGCTGCTAGTTTTATTCTGGGGCCGCTGCTGTCATATTAGTCATCACCCTCTGGCTAAGAACCTGATTCTGTAGGCTAGAGGTCCTCTTTGGATGGTTCTGACCTGTACAGTGCCTCCATATTCCTCCACAGCTTACCTGGCTGATAGTTTAACCACTCAAACCTATTTCAGATTAGATGTGCTGGAAGAATAAATGTTTTCATCATCTCCACAACAGAATGGTGAGTTAGCTCCACAACTGTTCTCCCATCACCATCAGAAAGCAGCATTACTCAATGTAGAACAAACATAACCTTTTATGTTAGGGTGGGGGGGTTAACAATAATTAAGTGTTTGTATGTACAGGGCATAGCAACTATTGCTGATTCATTATTTATTATCTGTAGTTACATAGGGTGCATGAAAAAGACTGGAACTTGATAAAATATTGAACTACAAAAAGACAGGATGACAACTGATATTAATCATTGATTGATTTCTTAGAAGTTTATAATTATGAGGAGAGAAATAACCATAAAATCATTAGCTGTGTTTAGAGTAACACAATCAAAGATTGAAACCTTGATTTCATAATTTGAACAGGTTGTTTTTGTATCTAAGCTATAAAAGCAATAAGCAGTAAGTACCTGTGGAGAATTTATTATATTTAGGAATCATCTTTAAAAGGACATTTAAATATGTTGTGGAGGATGAGAACTCCTGTCATGGACAATTGATTATTTCTCAATATTTTCTTTATCATTAAACAAATCCCTTTTTATTATTTTTTAATTATTATTTTGATATATTTCTTTTAAACTGACACACTTTCAGACAGCCCTTCATGCACTGCGGTAATAATCGGAAAGGCAAAAAAATGTTATTAAAATTAATTCATATATGAAAATTACTCTTTGGTCCATATACAGAAAAGTATAAGCATTATCTTTTTTTTTATTTAACTAAAATGCATATTTTATGTCTAAAATATAACTGCCATGGTGTATTGGTGATTGTAGAGAATGACCCACCTAATTGGTTTTGCTCAATTGTTATAACGCTCAGTAAAATCTGGGTTATAAGTTAATATTTTAACAGCTTTACAGCAGGAGTTTAAATAAGTGTCTGAGCTGCAGCGGAACATTTCCATCCCTGCGCATCCGATTCATTCAGAGGAAGGAAATTCATCTGCTCCTTTCTAAACAGAAACATAAATCACTAATTAAACCCAACTGATGCAGAACCAGATAAAGACTTTTCCATATTTTACAGGCTGCTTTCTATCTTTTCCTTTCCAAATTTAAAAGCGAGGTGACCCGATGATTGTCCCGTTGGGCAAACTAACCGGTTCACAGCAGATCAACAAGCGTTGCTGAATAGACTTTATCGCAGATAATAAACTTTCCTGACCTAACTGTGAACACGGTGCCTGTTTGTCTTACCTCCTGGTGTCCCTAAGCTGTCTGCATAGATCCTGGCAGCCAGCATCAGTAGCAGCTTTGCTGAATACATGTCTGAGTGCAGAGAAAGTTAAACGGTTCCCTCCAACTCATCGGAAGAAGCACATTTTAGAGACAATTGTTGCCGCAGCTTCAGCGGCTGAACAACTGCCGGGAGAAAGTTGAGAGATTGCCTCTAATTCAAGGGGCGGTCGTCTGCTTCGCCCACAGCCTCCTTTGATAAACGGTCGAGGATTTCAAAAAAAGCCTCTTGAATAAGGCTCGGGTTTGGGACGCGGGATAGCGGTGCCTCCATGTGGCGGGATTGCAGATCTATTGTTGTCTGGGAACTGGGTGGACTGGAATAATCTGACTATAGTAACACCACTGAGAATAGATAAACCTCAGATTAACAGATTAAATAAAGTAGCCATGTACAAATAAAATAAAAGGGTAATTGTGTGTCAAAAAAACTATGTTATTTAAAAAAAATTAATGAAAATAGCATTAAAGTAAAGTATTAAGTACAATTTAAAGCTACAGTGTACAATTTCCAGCGCTATCTAATCAGTGGCGGTTCCAAACCACCATCATGGGGGTTTCCTACTTTTTTCTCCGAGTTTTTACTTTTTTCTCTGAATTTTGACTTTAATCCCGCAGTTCTTAGTTTAATCTAAGAATTCTCACTTTGAACTTGGAATTCTGACTTTAATCTGTTATTTATGATTTAAATCCCATATCAAAGAGTTCTCAAGATTTTCATTCTTGCAACTGCGGAATATTTCAAATATTAGAAATATCCTGTCCAGGGGTGATTCTGAGAAATTAGTCCATCCATTTGTTACTTCAAGGCTGGACTATTGTAATTCTTTACTATCAGGAAGTCCACAAGCTGTAGTTAAAAGCCTTCAGCTGATTTAAAACGCTGAAGCCAGAGTTCTGATGAAAATTAGAGATCATCTCTCCTATCCTAGATTCTATTCACTGGCTTTCAGTTAAATTCAGAATACAGAAAAAAAAACAATGCAACCATTTTTGCAATTCACTTAATCAAATTAATTTACCTTAACACAATTGTTTCATGTTAGCAGGGAAGGACATAAAAATGTTGTCAGGCTCCTCTCCTGTGGAACCAGCAACCAGTTTTAGTCCGTGAGGCAGACACCCTGTCTACTTTTAAGGCTAGGCTTAAAACTTTCCTTTTTGATAAAGCTTATAGTTAGAGTGGCTCAGGTTATCCTGAGCTATCTCTATAATTATGCTGCTATAGGCTTAGACTGCTGGAGGACATAGGGACCTCTTTTTCATAATTCTGCTTCATTCTATCTCTATTCTCCCACTCTGCAGAATCTATTAGTTTAATCTCTAACGTTCTGCTCTCTCTGCTTTTTCTCATAGTAACTTCATCTAGTCTACTCCTGCTTGGCTGTGAAATCATACCAAGGAGAAATTTCCGCTTTGCTGCTGCCATCAACACCTTTGTTTATAGATGTCTGAGCTCTGCTTATTTTTCAGTGAAGTCCTGTTTCTCTGACTGTGACTAACTGGATGTGCCATTTTTGTCCTCTGACATGGAGTATTTCCTCTCCATTGTCGCTAAAAGCATGCTTTTGCTAGGGATTGCCCATGAGTTAATGATTTGATGCAATCAACTGCTTTTCCTTAAATAGAAAACTTTGAATCAATTTGACTTTATGATCTGGTTGAATGTCTTTGTAAAGAGACTTGAGATTATATTTCTTGTGAATTTGCGCTATATAAGTAAACTTATTTAGAAAATTGTATGGGATGGAGGTCAGAGCTTTCTGATTGCCACTCCAAAACGTTGTGATTGTTGTCCTAGAGCCATTTTTTTAAAAATTTTTGCTGGCTAATTTTCAATAAAAAAATCCTGAGATCTTTTCTTGAAAAAGTTAATATACAAGACCTAGCCTGAATGGGCTTTAAACCAATGTCTATGCAGTATACGTGTCTTACTGTAGATAATGATGTTCGAAGCTACGTGTCATTGAACAGATAAAATTGACACCTTCAGGGATCTGAAGTTGTACCTAAGCAAGAGACAGACTTAAAGAGCTCCAAAATTCTCTTGGTGATATTAAGCTTCTTTTTTAGTTGATGACACGTAAGGTAGCAATGTGTTTGAGGTGTTTTTCAAAATTACATCCAAAGGTTTGCTTCCAGTTCAGTCAAATGTTCTATATAAACCCATTACAACTTAAAAGTAAGAATTTTGATCTTTACAAATTTTGAATAAATCTTATGTAAATTGAAAATGTACATATTAAATAAAATGACAAATAAAAAAATGGTTTTACTAGTTGTCATGGTTTTAAGGTGCTTGGCCCACATGCAGACACAGGAAACACGAGCAGTCTAAGATGTTTATTGATAACACAACAAGAAAGTTAGTCCTGAGCAGGTACCGCAGAAGAGGTTCGGAACGTCAGTAAGCTGATTAAGACTAAGATTGGCAATTCAATCTGAAAAACTCACAGAGAGAGAAAGATGCAATTAGAAGAGTTTATTGATACAATAGTTTGAACTTTGGCGCTCAGGCCTCGGCAGGAAACATAAACGCTGATTTATAGTTTAATGGAGATAAACTGATGTATGGGAATAAGGATATTCCCCCCGGGCCTGAAACTGGTGGTGGAGTTTAGATAGGTGAAGTTTGGTTAATCCATGGAGGCTGGAATACGAGGTGATGCTTGAGTTAGATGTCACTGAATGAACAAAGTTTGCATAAACTGTCCATGAAGAGCAAGCATGAAGCGACTGTGGAGAGAAAAAAACTCCCCTTTGGGAAGAAATCTCTGGCAGAACCAGGCTCAACGTGGCGGTCTTCTGCCGGACCGTTTAAAGTGACAGGGAACTCCATGAAAGTCTGGAGGGACTACACACTGGAGGTGAGGTTGAAGGGGCATCGAGGAGGAGTCGGATGAGCTTACTACAATGGCGGAGAAGGGGATGGAGGTGGGTTGTCTGAATCAAAGTCCGACATAGGAGCGATGGATCTTGCGCTTGTTGAAGAGCAGGCCTAGAGATGATTTGGAGTGGCTTTAAGTGGAGTGCTGGAAGATGATTGGGCATCGAGGAAAGTGGCTTGAAGCGGGTTGGCTGCGTCGGAGGCGGATCAGCCTCAGATTGAATGGAAGTAATCAGAGTTTCTTCAGTTGAATTTCCGCCTTAGCTTCATTTCAATCTGAAAAACTCACAGAGAGAGAAAGATGCAATTAGAAGAGTTTATTGATACAATAGTTTGAACTTTGGCGCTCAGGCCTCGGCAGGAAACATAAACGCTGATTTATACTTTAATGGAGATAAACTGATGTATGGGAATAAGGATATTCCCCCCAAAAATTGCCGAGGTTCAGGCCTGAGCGCCAGCATACGCAGAAAGCGGAGGGAGAAGGATGAGTACAGAAGGACTTCATTATGCACAGGCTGATACACGTGATAAAGGAATAATCATGACGGGGATCATAGCAGTGAGCATGGTAGAGAGAAAATAAAGGAGTTTTGCAGAATGCTTAGCAGGGTGCATGCAGGAAGCATAGGAACATTGCAGGGAGCATTGCAGGAAGCATAGGAACATTGCAGGGAGCATTGCAGGAAGCATAGGAACATTGCAGGGAGCATTGCAGGAAGCATAGGAACATTGCAGGGAGCATAGCAGGAAGCAAGGCAGGAAACGACAGGGGATGTGGCGAGGAAGCATGGTTGGAAACACACTGGGAGCAGGCAGGGAGCAAGGCCAGGGACCACAGGGAGCATAGCAGGGAGCATGGCAGGGAACACACAGGGAGCATGACAGGGAACAAGGCCAGGACCACAGGGAGCATGGCAGGGAACACACAGGGAGCATGGCAGGGAACACACAGGGAGCATGACAGGGAACAAGGCCAGGACCACAGGGAGCATGGCAGGGAACACACAGGGAGCATGACAGGGAACAAGGCCAGGACCACAGGGAGCATGACAGGGAACACACAGGGAGCATGGCAGGGAACACACAGGGAGCATGGCAGGGAACAAGGCCAGGGAGCATGGCAGGGAACGAGGCCAGGGAGCATGGCAGGGAACAAGGCCAGGGACCACAGGGAGCATGGCAGGGAGCACACAGGGAGCATGGCAGGGAGCACACAGGGAGCATGGCAGGGAGCACACAGGGAGCATGGCAGGGAGCACACAGGGAGCATGGCAGGGAGCACACAGGGAGCATGGCAGGGAACACACAGGGAGCATGGCAGGGAACACACAGGGAGCATGGCAGGGAACAAGGCCAGGGAGCATGGCAGGGAACAAGGCCAGGGACCACAGGGAGCATGGCAGGGAGCATGGCAGGGAGCACACAGGGAGCATGGCAGGGAGCACACAGGGAGCATGGCAGGGAGCACACAGGGAGTATGGCAGGGAACACACAGGGAGCATGGCAGGGAACACACAGGGAGCATGGCAGGGAACACACAGGGAGCATGGCAGGGAGCACACAGGAAGCATGGCAGGCAGGTAAAGTGGCAGGGATCACACGGGGAGCGTGGCAGGGCGCATGGCAGGGAACATGACTCATGGGGAGCATAGCGGGAAGCATGGCTGGAAACACCCAGGGAGCATGGCAGAATGCAAGCAGGGAATGAGGCAGGGAACACACAGGGAACATAGCAGGGTGCGTGGCAGGGAGCAATGATTTAGCAAAGATGAGAATATATTTTAAACCATCACCAGTATTCGAAGTTAGCTTACCTTACAGACAGAGAGAGTGTTGAGCTGCTAAGATTGAAGAGTGTTCAGGGCGGATATAGGATTTATAGGCTGAAAAAGTCTATCGGCCCAACTGCTGGAGAGAAGCCACAGAGACACCACGAGCAGCTGCTTTGGCTGCCCCTATCCTAAATGAGTGGCTGGAATAATGACTGGATGAAAAGCCACAGGATTCTGATCGTATTCTGGGATGGTCTTGGAACCAGCGCGGTGACGCGGGAGAACCCTTGCGCGTGACGAAGTGGCTTTGAAATGAGGGAAAAACTTTTGGCGCTTTGAACAGATTAAACATGGTGATAAACAGGCAAAAGGGGCCATCTGTACGCAAGATAGAAATAAAACAAGGGCCTTTCCTTTAGAATGATTCAAGATATTTGTAAGATCGATGTGGAAATGAAGATCCGACAGAGACGAATGTCGGGAAGGATCGAAACGACTATTAGTTGAAGTGAAGCTAAACCTGATTTATGTAGAAACTGGAGGAAGTAAGTAC